CAAATTTCAATGTTTCTCGTGATCACTCAAACCATGCTAGAGGCGCATCATCAAAATTAGTGTACAAGTATTTTAAGATTGAATGAAACATAAACCCGGACGAAACTAAAGATAAGCCAAACAGCACTGGGGCAATCTTGAACTATTCGTCTGCCTATCCGAAATCGGTATTCGCCAGCACTGCTTCATCAATGTCTAAGCATGTAAGGTCCCTGTGCACAGAAGAAGCCGATCGGACAGCGGCCAGAATTGAAGCAAAGAACAAACTTCAAGGTAATAGCTTGATTAGGCGTCAAGTGCGAAGGGTGTTGGTACCGGTAGAGAAGCCCAAGGGAAAAAAATTCAGGACCGCATTCAAGAGAGGGAAATACTGCGCTCTTCACCGGGGCAGTTAAAGCATTGCAAACAGTACCAGAGAAACATTACCGGGGACTTCGTCTACAAAATTAAGTGCAACGACTTCACCAAGTTCTATATAAGACAGACGACCAGGATCTACACAACAGAATCGGAAAGCATAGTACAAAAATCAACAGGCCGCCAAGAAACGCAGATGAATGTCATGCGTTACTCAGCAAATGCGGACATCGCACTGGACACGGGACACGAAATAGATGTAGAAATGATGAGGGGAGAATCACAGTCCACCTCACATGGAGGGGGCAACCGAGGTGGTAGAAATCGCCATGCATCCCAGTGTCAACAGAATAAAAGAAGTGGAATTGGCAAGCCTGCGGAGAACGGTTTCGGATCAGTCGAGCTGACACGTGTTGGTGGGCGGTCATAAGATGCAATTGTAGTCACCGTCTGAATTCCACTTTATCTCAACCCAACCGCCCAAACTAAATTGGCGAAGCACTCACAAACCCACAAAGACCAAGGAAGATCCACCAGTGGCAACCGAGATGAATCATTACAATGAAGTGGGAGACCAACGGACCAAACCCGGTCAGAAGTTATGTGAAACTCCTTCAATCCACCAAATTAAAATTTTGACAACCACACTAGCCGACAAGAGCCATATTTCACACTCAACACTGACCTGGTGTGACGATATGGAGGGGCTCACTGATTGGTTCTCCGTCTGTCTTACAACCTAGCCAATTTGGCGACCAGCTCACTGGCTTGATAAAGGTTTTGTGTCAAAAGCGAAACGTAGCCCAAATAAAATCTACCGATTGTTTACCAAGCCCTTCTGAAACGTATAAGATCTCGCTTGTATTGGAACGTGATCACGCTAATTTTGTTTCACACCACTTCAGCGTGGAATGAAGTGTCTTCTGAGAAGTATACAAATGATTAAGTTATCAGTTGGGTGAATATGGATCTGAAAAATAAGCTTCTCAATTTTGCATTTTCTACACGGATGAGGGAACAATGCAAAAACGACCCATACACGCGGTTTTCCCACTGGTAGCATAAATGTGAACTTTGGTTGGAACACATCCTCTCACCAAATAAACCTTGTCCATAGTCACAAGGGTTCATCATTCACGTCATCACCGAAGTGTATCAAGCCAATGACGTTTATCAACCGTTTCCCTGCCGAACCACTGTATAATATATGGGGCAGGTGAAAACCGATCAACTCCATTGGTATAAAGCTCACATTAAGTTGAAGGGAGTCTGATTTAAGAAAAACAGTGTGATTTCACAAGTAACCTTGTGTTGCTAGGTTGCAACTTAGTGTTTTCCAGAAACAACTGCCGAGAAATCGATAATGTGAGCGCCGATAGCTAACCAGTGCCACATGAAAAATGGTAGCACATGCAAGGCTTTGCGATAAATTATCTCGCCGCAGTCACCGATGCAGTTACGGAAATTTTCGTAAACTAGATGACATGCGAAACTGAATACCCAAATTGATCTACATTTTCACCTACTCAGGCAATGTAAATAGTATACAGTGATTCAGTTGATGTTTTGATGACACGCGCAACAAACAAAAACTCGTATCACATCCTGAAAAAGATAAATTCATGTACAGAATAAAGGCTCTGTCGGGAAAAAGTCGCAGTCTCATCCAGAACGTGGGCGAACATTAGACGAATAAATAATTACAATGTCGCGATATCTAGGTGCTCGGTAACCGCCACTGACCGGAGGTTACACATCCAAGATTTCAATACACCCTGGATTGAACATAGAAAACTTTTTGTAAAGTGATAAACATTGACTGTGTTTATTCGTAGACCTAAAGCATCACGCAACATCCACAGATTTTTACAAGTGTTCTTTGAAACTAACCCACGTTGTAGACGCTTCCAGATATGGAAAGTACCCTATGCCACTCGCGTTTTGTTGTCAGTCTCTCCCCAGAACTAAGTTTCATATTAAGCTGCGTGCTAGAATCTTGTTTCCGGGAGTTCAATTTGGCTTAGGAGCTCAGAATGATCTGGTGGTTAGGGCTCAAAATTACTGATTGCAGGATTGCAAAGGTTCCAGTATGTATTGACCTTCCGCGGTGAAAATGCTTCCTATGCTAATTACGGCGGAACGCCTGTAAACAAAGCGTCTGGCTGAGCACTCTTGGCATTCTCTATAATGTTGGGTCCTTGGCTAGGCGTACCGAAAGCGCGCCGACGAAAATGCTAAGAGGTTCTGCAGAAAGGAGGTTATATTGAGCAAGGTTCCTCCAAAGAAGTCACGAACATTTGGTTATTTATTCACTTGCGGAACTGGGTTACAAGTGCGAACTATGTTCGACATAAATGCATCGAGTTGACACTGAAATTAGGTTTATTCCTGTCCGATTGGTATCAACAAATGACTGAGCACACCAGGGCAGGCCAGGTGACCAACAAATAAATCATAAAATATGCTGGGGCTAAAATAGGAATTCCATCTTATGGTGCGTCCGTATTCCCAAAGATTCCGCAATGCACGAACTTCTACCTAGACTTTCTGGTGGCCAGTGCTAGCGTACTCTTACAGGTCGAAAAATGCTCGAGGTACCTGTCTGGTGTAATCCGGAAGATGTAAATCCCAAACTCAGTTTATCCTCGACGGTGTGATGCATCGTATCAGGGGATGTCATGCCCACGGAAGCTTCTGCTGTGCTGAAGCTTTTAAAGACTATTTTTGTGCCCGCGTCGTTAATACGAATGCGAAAACTTTTAAAGCTGTGTTTTAAATAGTCTGTTGCGTTTTATTAGAGGAAACACTCTACTAGATCAGCTTGGTTGTCGTTCCTTAATTCGCCTGCGGAACAACCAGCTAAAAGTTGGACCAAGAACTGCTGATCGGCAATGTGATTAGCTCTCATTTACACTGGATATAGCGCGAATCATCGTTCAATCGCAGAAACCAACTCACATAGTCACATATTGTTGACAGGCTCCTCGGGTGACGACGTATCAAAAGAACGTTTCAGTCATCATACAAAACCATTCTTTCTCTGATATACTCAGGTTACTGACTTAACGGTGATACTTCAGATGGGGCAGGCATGGGAGTTACACGTTCTCTTCCTGTAAATTCGCTTGAAAATGGAGATTTTTGTGGAATACGTGAACTCGCTTTGTACCATTTGCTTGGACTTGAGCAACTCCCAATGAACATCCAGACTAGTTCGACAAGACGCGTTTAAGGGAAGATGCGTGTTTGGTATTTTCTAATTAAGATGCATTTGAGAGGTTGGTTTCCAGTCCAGTAGTCTGTGACTGGTCAGTTGGCATTATGTAATAAAGTACTCCGCAGGGAAGGCCTTCTTCATTTTAGTTGGTGAGGTGTCCAGGATAAGGATCAAGATTCCGTGGCCACAACCCTCTTAGGATGAGGATGATCGGATCTTCCTTGGGGACTTTGAGGAGGTCGCGGATGCCGCAGGTTTGGCGACCGACCGGAGTAAGTTCGCAGCGCGGGAGATCCCCATCAGGGGTCGGACGAACGCGGCCCCGGATAAGGTTTTTGAAAGTTGGACTGGTCCGCCGCGAAAAAGCCTTGCAATAGAGCTCGACACGCCGCCCGACCGCTTGAAGGCTATGGGGCGGTTCAAGTCAGCCAGGGTGGCAACTAAATCTGACCCGGCCGTGTTCTTTGCCGACATACAGCATTTGTTTGTTGGTGCTTTGCCCGGTCTGTACGTGGTGTCGCGCCACCAGTCGCTCTCCGTCCACTTCGTCGAAGATGTGCAGCCGGCGCCTGGTGCCCCATTGCAGTCGGCACGGACAACTGGCCAGTTGAGTGTGAAGGAGCTAGTGTGCGTGGAACGATAATTGCCCCGGGACACCAGTGCTCTCATTGGAGTCGCAGGAGGAGATGGATGGTTCACCAGTGGAGGACCTGCGGACCAGAATAGACTAACGAGCGGAGCCGCTTGGAGCCGTAAAGATGGAATCGCTGGGACGCTCGAACCGGTCAGTGCTTACATGTGTGACACGTCTGGCCACTGGAACAATCAGTGTCCCCGTAGTCGATAAACTGCAACTCTTCTCTTCCTGGGTATATCGCGATTAGCGCACTGACACAGTCCACCATACAAGCCATTATCGAGATAGATGGGAAGAAGGAGTTATGTTTGATTGACACAGGTGCAGGCGTATCGTTGAAGCGGAGAACGAACCAAGCTGAACACAGACCGTGCGCGCTAGCCATGACAGTAGTAGCTGGATATTGAGTAAAGGTTCATGGATTGTCAGCGCACTCGATACGCCTAGGCGACAAGTTTGTACAGCATGTGTTCTTGATCAGCCCAGCTATAGACCCGCCGCAGAAGCCGATCTAACGATGATGAATGAGAATCGATAGCATGCGCACGACCACAAACCACCAGTGTGGACACACTGTTGGAGTAAGTTTGCACAAATGATCAGTCATTGAACAAGCTGATCAAAATTGCCGATTATGCCCTGATTACCATAAACCTCGTACCGCAGACCTATTAGATTTGTGATGGATACCTTTTTTACATTACCGCCAGACATTGGTAAGGCAAAGTCCGATTCACAGGAGACACAGTATAAAATTCCACTCACATAAAGCTTCAAGTGTACCTGAATATGATGCGTCGATGTTTGCTTCTTATTGCGTTCTTATTCTGCATCGACCGTGTTGCATGGTTGGAAGCTGTCGGTGTCCACAATTGGCCATTCATATTTAACAACAATCCATCAAAGAACTGGGTTGTCCTTGTCGCTGGTACCAATAACTGGGACAATTATCGACATCAAGTAGGTTTCCGTTGGTTTTTCACTGATGTGAGGCTAAAACACTCAGCAAAATCCCGCAAGAACGGGTTTTCAAAGTGGAAATTTGATCTAATGGTACTCCAATTAGCTGTGTTCTACCTAGTTTTCTCCATGGTTGTGATATTTCATTCGAGAGGGCGGTGGATAGAAGCCACGTCTATTGGACACACTAATGGACGCACATTGCGTGGCTTGTGTTGGTTCTCGTCAGTATATCAATGTCTTGCAACGACATTTCGTTTTGGGTGGGTCGATTCTCCGGTCCTATTTAACTCAGACGTTACTGAGCTGCATACCGTAATTCACGTTATGTTAGGTAAAATGACGGCCGGTGCGTGGAATGTATGGTGTTGTATAAAACACGAATTCGATGGTTTTCAAGCCACCACTAATCATGTGACCTGGCAATGTAGCTTCATTATATCAGAGAAACGCTCCCGGGCTCCGCAGGTCTAAGATATCTGAAAAAATGCGCTGACGTACAAACAACTTTGGCCGTTACGGCGAAAGCACCGGAATTGTTAGGCAATGCCAGTGGATAAGTCTATCCTACTTGGTGAGATCAAGGAGCGTGTATTTGGAATAAACATACAGAAATCCATCTTGGTCAAATTCGTTCGTCCGTGCGTCTATCATTTGCATGGGGATTTAAGTGAATGTATTGAAAATGTTACATATAATGAGTGCATCTTTATCCATTCTTGATATTCAGCGGGTAATAGTTTATTGCCACTGAGTTTCGCCACAATTTGACCCTTTATCTGGTACACAAGCGAAAGACAGATTCGGACGTATTTTCAAAGTCAAGGGATACCGGAATCGTGCAGCTTCGGTGAGAATGTTGTTGTTCGGACACTTGACTGAATGTAGAACTGTGGTCCACACAAGCCCTTCCAGAGTTGAATCATGCTTCCAGTTCTTGGGATAATGCATCCAAACACTGTTGGGACGGCCACCAACTATGGATTGTCCTACACACTCTGTTTGCCGTCTCGAGCCTGCATGCCTCACTCTGCCTGTTATCCTTAACTCACGTGTCACTTGTGTTCTCAACTCTTTTGAGTGCTAGCCTGAGTGTTCGTTTGAGTAGCCTGAAATGTATTACACTGATATCTAGATATTGTCTTAGTGCACCACTTGGCTGATGATTTGGAGCAAATAGTAAGCAATCTAGTAGGCTAAACAGATTGTAATGCGGTCGAAGAGGAGAAAAGAGCTTCTAAAAGCAATAAAATTTGGTTCCTGCATGGAGATTGTAACAATCGCAAGTCGTTGATTGTCCAATCTTTCGTTCTGCTGTAGCATGTTTAACGTGTCTAGCTGCCACGGCACACGAAGGTTGCACGAGGGCTGGGATGCTGCCAGGTTTCCCCAGCCTGGACAGAAGAGGTCGGAGGCAGGGGTAGGGCTGGATCTACGGAACTGCCCGTCGGTTAATTCGCGCTCTAGGCACTAGAGCCATCTCGTTCCCTACCCAATCAAATTGCATTTAAGGGCGCTGAATATTGATATGCTCAGGTAATCTACTACTGGTGGTGGGTGAATGTAAAGTTACCTAAATAATTACATTTACGCATCAAATTTGTAACTCTCTGTTGTGCACTCTACGAGGAGCAGTGTAGGATACCTAAATTCGTTTTGCGTGAAGGATTATTAGTTAATACTTTATCGAATGTGTGACAATGTGCACTCATCGTCGTGGAAATTTGTCCCTAAAGAAACCAGGGAAGCATCTTCCAACAGAATTTGTTAGCCGTTCACTTCTTTCCATTCGACCTCTCAAAAATCCCACTGATACATTTCATTCTTTTATTCCAGAAATCCGTTTAAAGGCAAAGTGTTCCACGACTACGAACACGTAGATGTCTACAACGGTGTGGTAATTGACTACCGTGGGAAGGTAAGCCCATGCGCAGCAATCAAGTGAATTCCTGCATCTGTTCACCGTGTAACACAATGCGCAAGTAGAATGATAGTGCGGATCAAAACACAATACAAATGGTAGGGCAGATTGATCACTTTCACTATATTACACAATGGTCAATCCACTTGAACGAACACTAGTCATGAGGTCATAGAGAACTCTCAGACAGCCCATGACCGAGTTCAACCTTCTGCTTTTGCCCTATCCATTAGGCTAGCGTTCTTGTCAAAAGAACCACGAAAAGTGCACGAGGACCAACAGCGCCCGAATAGCTTCCTCCGAGGAAATATCATGTGATATCTCGAGGGATGCAACAAGCAAAACTAGCAGCGTGTCCAGGACAGCACATTTAGCTGGATAATATCATAGATAAGCGATGTTCCACTGCGATGATCATGCTGATGAGTGATACCCACTTCGGTTATTTCCCACGTATGTTGCATTCCTTAGCTACTGAGTTAGATGAGAGTTTCTTGGTAGTGTTTCCAGCTAGTCCATGTCCAACTAAACTACTGACACTGGGCTCGGGGAGCAAATACAAACGCTATGCTTGGCAAATAGACGAACAATTGAGTTCTTCAGTTTGCAGCATACAGAGACCATCGCTGAAATAAAATGAGTGAAGATGGAGGGAAGAGCATAGATTTCACTGATTTGTTATATTGCAAATGGATAGTTACTGTGAATAGAATGAGTGTGGAGAACACCATTGTCACAGGAATAATTGGTCATGCGTGTTTGTCTGTTTTAGGATGTCACACGGGAGAACTTCGTGAAAGTATTAAAAGGCAATAAGAAACTTGAAGCGAACAACAAGAAAGTGCTGAAAAGTTGAGCTTGCGCGGAATTGGATATTGTTGATGCACTTGCTGATCACAGCCAGAATAATAGTTTTGGAGGTTACCATCTTCGGATTTACGAAATGTCTGTGTAGTATTCTCCTAATTAACTTAGTACATAATCACTTTTAATAATCATCCCAGAAGTCAGTCAAAAGGATTCGCTTCAATCCAGGGAAACTCGGTCCATCCATTTCAGACTATGGGTTATTATCAAATCATAGACATCAGTCTCCACTGGTAACAAGTTTCAGAATTATTCAGATATGCGCAGTTCTGAACGGCCAAACATCTACTTGATGCTGTACAACTTTGAGTCGGTCGATCTTGGTTTACTCGGATCCAGGAAAGGTTTTCATTCACAGTGTTGAACAGCGCAAATAAACACTGTGCTTGGATGATCGAAATCCAAGCCCACTGGCAGCCATGTCGGTTTATGTCGGTCTTTCATATCTGTATCGTAATTCACCTACAATACCTTCAGCTTTCAGGATACCTGTCTCACCTATGTGGAATGTTAACGTCAGAGCTTTTCCTTCGAAATTCATTCCATGCCTTCTTGACCCGCTCATGACGAAATGGGAAGCGTCGGCATACAGAGACAAGCCGAGAAATGAGGCAAATGTTTATTTCCTCGCAAACCATAAGTTTTTCATCCGGTCATTTACGTGCAGTTTTGATTTGCAATTGCGACAAAATCCGTATTCACCAGCACTATGGGCGTGTTTCCTGATTAACCGGCGCGTACAGGGATATGCAATGGGTGATTCCGTACATATTCCCAAGTCTCGTAAAGAGATCTTTTTCGTTCGCAGCTGGTCAGAAACCCCCACGATTAAGAAGTTTTTCTTAACATTGATTGTTGGGCCTTCTTCAAGAGCTTCGTGTTAGTTGGTGGTCTGCCGTCATTCAGGTTTGCTTCCGGGAACTTAGTGCCTCGTGGTCTGTTCCACCATCGCCATTTCACGGTGGTAGTCTGATGGTTGTTCATGGAGGCATTATTCTGAGGTTTCGCCAGTCCTCCCAGTAGCTTGGATTGGGGCGTTCCCTTAGAAAATACTCAGTTTGGCCCCCCTCATTTTTTAACTCCCCGCCCATGTCGTAATCAATACGTAGAAATTTATTTGCTGTTGCCTAGAGCATGAAGTTCCCGCCGCCTCTCAAGGGCATTATATCCAGTTGTAGCAAGCTAGTTTTCTGCGAAACTACATTTTCAGACAGAATATTTCGTTGACAATACGCAAAAGAGATATTTTTGTTACCTCGCATATTGTGAGTCTATCCGTTTGTATTTTGGAATTAGGCTAACATTGTACAAACCTTTATCTTAGGTGAGCTCGAAGTTATCTTTTTCTGTCAATTTTTGCACTATCTAGTTTGTTTTTCTAATGTAACCAGGTTCGTTCTAATAAGTGAATGAGCAGAAATTGGATAAAAGCTTTTCCAATACTAAATTGAACAAATTCGGTTTTTCCGAACCCGCCTGTATTTAGGTGAAATAGAGAAAGAGGGATGATCTATAGAATAGTTGATCAAAGATGATAAACTCATCTGCAAAAGAAACAAGTTTTATTAACTGGAGGAGCATTCGCCAAAACAAAAATACGAAAACTCAGGCTACAGCAAAACAACAATGCCGAAAAACACATTCAAACTGTACTACCGAAACCAGATCGGAGTAAGTGCCAGTGGAATGTGGAAAGCCGGAATGCAACACATTAGAAATCGGAAACCGGAGAATAAGGCCATGAACACAAGGTCTTCAGACAGAAACTGAATAAAGCAGCAATCGAATTCAGGGGCTGTCAGCCACAACGCAGCACAGTTCGAAATCAAACATTTGTACCCCGAGATATGTATGCGCTCTTCAGCCAGTCACAGCCGTATACTATCAGACAGGTATGGAGTAACTTCCAACCCAACCACTCACTCATGATGTCACTTCGGTTGGTGATGAAACATTCGCAAGCTGATCACTACGATCAGAGAGCAGATGAACACCCTCTCGATCAATGACCAGCAAAAACAATATTTCCAGATCAGACGACTCACTCATTTCCTTGACATATTGAGAGTCTAATCGTTTGTAGTTTGAAACTTGGCTAACGTTGGACAAAGCTTTATCTCAGGTGAGCTGAACGCGAGCTTTTTCCGTCAAGATTGGCACTATCTGGTTTGCCTTTCTGCTATAACCAGGTTCGGTAACAGATTTATTACGTAAATTAACAGAAAGGTGGTTAAAAGCTTTTATAATTCTAAGCTGACCAAATTTAGTTTTTTCTTTTCTACCTGTGAATTAGTTGAGGTAGAGAAGGAATAGAGATGGTCTACACAATAGGTGGTCAAAAGTGATAAACTAGTCTGAACAATAAAAAGAGTTCAATTAACTGGAAGAGCATTCGCGAAAACAAACTCCGAAAAATCAGGATACAACACCACAGCAATTCAGGAACAACTGGTCGAAATGTACTCCCGAAACCAGAAGTCGGAGTGAGAGCCAATCGAATGTGGAAAACCAAAATGCAACACATTAGAAATCGGTAACCGATCAATCAGACCGTGAACAAAAGGTCTTCAGACAGACACTACTTAAACCAGCAATCGAATTTGGAGGATGCCAGCCACAACGCAGCACAGTTAGAAATCGAGTAATCGGACCCCGTGAGGTGTATGCTCCGTTCAGCCTGTCCCAGCCGAATAATATTAGACAACTATGAAGTAACTTCCAACCCAACCACTCACTCATGATGTCACTTCGGTTGGTGATGAAACATTCGCAAGCTGATCACTACGATCAGAGAACAGATGAACACAATCTTGATCAGCAACCAACAAGCGGAACGTTTCCAGATCAGTTTTAGATACAAACATATGGATTCTGGGATATTCGTGTTCAAAATTTAGGATGGCCTCACCTTGGTTATATTATTTTTCCTCAGTTGTGTATATATTAGGTAGATATTTTATTAAACAGATTTGATCATGCTAACAATAGTGCCTTTTCGGAAAGACTGAGTGTGAGCGTTCTAACAGAATGATGACGTAATCATGCTGAAAAAACCGCCTTTTCGAAAGAGCTGAGTGTGAGCGTTCTAACAGAATGATGAATAAACTAGCTAAAGTGGAAAACTGCTTCCAACCATCTGCATGCATTGAAAACCATAAAGATTAACCAACAGACGTCCAAAGAATCGAATTTCCATCCCCGTATTCACGTGTCAATGAAAATAGCAGAAAGTGGAAGTTAATTTAGATACTGATTACATCCACCAGCGTGTACAAAACAATATGCTGAACTACGTGTTCACTATGCTTCCATTTCCGCGGGTTTTTTTGTGCATTTCTACGAGTGGGAGCTACAGCCAACAAGTCACTCCTGAAGACTACCTTCACCTTTCTGCCCGCTAACAGCGGTCCTGATGACAACGTGTTCATCTTCTACTCTGGCCATGGTTTGCAATCCCGTATCACCTTCCCAGAAGATGGTGGTGGTGTAAGTTTAGTTAATTTTGGTAACAACGCTTACGGCACACAGTTTTTCAATCGCAAGCTTAATTGTGAACGGATTGAAAAGGCTTGAATAGACGTATGTTGGCGCATTCATATCGGTAGTTCTTTATAAAAGAGAGTTTATAGTCAGGCTGGCCTACACATCAATCAAAAAAGGGAACACAAGCCATGGGGTTCGAACGTCACTCTCGAGAGTGACATCCCAGGGAATTCACGTATGATAGGCCTCGTCAACGTATTTTATATGATGATGTCATATAGATTTTGATTTACCAAGTTTATGGTCGCTCACCCGACATGATTTCGTTGGACTGCTGAGCACCGTAGATACCATAAACAAAGAAGCTGGTCGTATACGGTCACACACGAGGCGTAGGTGATAGGAAGAACGCGTCAACCAAAATCTTCCTGACAAGACAACATACTGCTTTTCGCTTCTATAGCGACAGCACGAATCTATAATAGTATAAAGTTTTTGTATTTATGTATGAGATACCAGTCTGTGATGAAAAGCCGAGAAGCGATGTACAACATTGTTCCATCCTCATTGGGAATCATCAGTGGTGCGCTTGATAGATGCAACGTGTAACCGTTCGACCGTGAGCGATCAACAAACAGCCTGATTTATCTGCACTAAGTCAGGACATAACGTCGCTCATTCTTCAACCAAGGGATCAACATCACTGGTGACTGACTCATCGAGTGACTCATATCGAGCTCACTAGAAATTTCTTTCTTCTCTTGCGACAGCTCATGGCCATGGAGTTGAACGATACCCTCGCCTACATGCATTCGAAAAGAAAGTTCAACAAATTGGTGCTATACGTGGAGGCTTGCTACTCTGGCTCTATGTTTAAAGATGTTCTTCCTTCAAATTTGGGGAGTAAGTAGCGTAAATTTCTGGCTAATTCTTGCATGGATCCTGTAAAATAGCATTCAGCAGGTCAATCATATATATGGTTTAAAAGCGGCGTTGACCATAAAAACAGAACGAAGTTCCAAGTTTGGTTTATTCTTGTTCACATCTCGATCATTGTATGGAAGTTGCCATTGACTCTACGCAAGATGCGTTTAAGCACGGGGACAGCACAGAATCTAGCCTTCATTGATCAATGTCCATTCTGCTGCTGATTTCATATGGGTGGAGGATATCATTGTGTAACCGGTACAACCCCTGTGATATTTTTGTGTCCGTTTGCAGCAACCACCAATGCCAACTGGATACCTTCTTTGTAAATTATAAATGGATCGTGGGTCTTTTATAAAAAGTCCACCACAACCCATCAAACAACCGGTCTAATGATTGTGGCGTAACCACCTTTGACCGTTCTCGTCAGTGGTCTGTTTCCAGGGGTTCTACCGTAAAAAACATACATTCACACACTTATTTGATTTTGACGGGCTGACCCAAACAAACCCAGATAAATGTCTCGTTCAGGAGAGTGTTTGGCAAGTTCCGCACAGTCCGGGTTCAAGTCTTGATTAATGTTTGGGGAAAGTCAACGACTGCGTCTACCTGATTCGCCGCAAGAAGCATGAAAACAATGATGTTCTGTCAATGAAATGTCAGTGACCTTCTGAATAGTGTGTTAGTTCGAGACGTTTTGTAGCTTCATTATTTCTGTGAGTCACACGATCCGTTCGTTGATAATTTACCTCACTGTTTCTTACATCTTTGATATTGACCTATACTATCTGTTGTGTGAACCCCCTAAACCTGCAGTCTACGTGACAACCTCAGCCAAGGAAGATGAACCATCCTGGTCTGTTTTGTTTTTTGACAAGCAAATCGATGTTTGTCTAGCGAACGAGTACTCGTTTTGCTGGCTTTTAGATTCGGAATACGTGAGTTTTAACGGAACTGTTGCAGATGAGCCTGTCAGTTGTGGATGGATAGTCTGGTGGTATTCAGCAGCAGGTGGTAGTCCATTTGATTCTCAGGACCATTTAATTTTTGTTTTCAACCATGGAAAGGATTTATGGCAATTCGGCCATCACGACCGTCCGGAGGCCCCAGAATAATCAAACCGTTGATTGGATGTCCGAAATTTCTCACTATTCTCCCAATCAGGTTCGCCTCTGATCTTGCCGAGAGATATGAAAGAGACTAGTAAACGTCTGGGTGCTATTGACGTAATTCGCTCTCTACGATGGAGGCCGCCTGGTTCCCGCCGTGATTTGTTGAAGAAGCTGTAACTGATGTCCTTGAATCGATGCTATTAGAGTTCTTCTTATCATTTTCGGCTCTGTCGGCCTGAGTAATTTCCTGGAGATGTAGACGCATCGGAATGATTGTGGTAGGCCAGCACCAAGTCCTTTCTGCATCCATTCTGATTATTTTCTTTTGAATAGGGCATTTAACGAATTTCAAATCCACACAGGAAGGCGTCAATTTTGAATGCGGATTTTGACATTGATGACGTTGATGATGATGATCAAGATGATGATGATAATAATAACGATGCTGCTGATGATAACGATGATGATGATCCCGGTGGATCTCCTGCACGCCTTCGTCTCAATACATCTGTCGAAATGAATCAATATGCCGATGGCGTTCATGCTGTCAGTTTCTATCCAAACTATCTGACTGGGTCTCGGATGCGTAGGTATCTCCAATGTATGCTGTAGGCTAACCCTATATTTTACTTCCTGTTCCATTATCCTTTCTTTCTCCAATACAAATAAGTAGGGGTACTGATACAGCAGTGAAGCACCGGTATTTTCCTCTGATTTTGCTCTCGGTGATGATGATAATGGTGATCATAACCGTAGAGCATCAATTCGCTAAGATGTGTTTTATGTGCATTGTGTCCTGCAACAGCGGATCGCTCACTAATTTACCAGTAGTATGTGTCGCACCGTACCTCAATTGTCTTAATTCTAGTGATGGTTTCACGGTTTTCCCTACTCCCTCCTAAACTTGCGTAAGCTGATCTGTCTTTTGCATAGCTCCTCTTTGTCATTATCTCTCACCTGCGCGCAGAATGATTTGAAAAAGCGTACCCTCGATCAACAGTACGAGGAGGTGAAAGAGAAGACAGTGTTTAGTCACGTGACGTGATGAAATGAAATGGCGAGTCACAAAACGCCACGGAGAGATTCATTCGGGTCACTTTTGAAAAGTCAGACTATTATGGAAATGAGTGTATCTATCGAGATGAAAGTTGCATTTAGTTATCTGTGAAAGGTGATGGTCAGTGTTGAAATACTTGATTAGGAACTTGAAGTTCCATAGATGAAATTCAGCAAGGCTGCTAGTACAGGCATCCAGATATGCAAGCCTGGCCAGTGTCACTTTTCGGATAACCAAGCAGTGGCTTTGGGTACCTTGTGATTAATACATTTCTGCGCTACGGTATAAAAGGGAGTCGAAGCTGTATGAATCAACCACAAGTATCTCGGTGGAAGAATATATTTGCGCGACGACTGAAAGTTCCATCTGATAAGTTGACACTCGAGGAGCCAGTCAATACGTGGCCACGTGATGTGATTTTCCGTGGTTGAACTATGACTGCTTTGGACCCGAACGAGCAAACTGAGGTAGTGATTCGGTGGACATAACTGCTATACACTGATGTTTGCGAAACGGTTTCGAAATTAATGTTCATTGATCAACCGGATCTTTCAACACTAACGCGTGATAATTAAGGTGCGAAATTACGGTCGCATGGTGAGCCTCTTTGTCACTATATGGAACAAGACGCATTCTTGGTTGATATGGCACTGATAAGTGTCTGTTTGTTGTTCATTTCAGGCGATAGGAAGAATCCCAGTTGGAAAATTCCAGGGTCATTATGACCTACTGATGCACCGGAATGATGGAGCGATAGTAGTATGTGTTCAGTGCAGCCTTCGATATTTTGAATTGTCCGTCGGAACAGTCACTAGATGTCTCAGGAACCAAGTGGCCATTTCAAATTCCAATGACAGACTAATGAGTGGTCACTTCAGTGGCAGAAACGCCCACCATCCCAGTTAATATCGACGAAGACTGCTAATACAGAGAGACGTAAAAATAGGCACGTATTTAGATGAATAGCGGTCAATGTACATGGACGCAGCAAAGTGAGCGAATCGCAGATCCCTACACATCGTGCGTCTGATGATTATCCGTAGCACGATCAGTGACAATCGAGGGGATGTTGAAAACCTATCAGTCCAACTGACAAGCGTTTCGCCGATTGCAAATAATCGTCGATTCCATGTTACGCCATTAGACGGAACACGTGTTTCCACTAACCATGAAAAGAGCACAGAAATTATCACCTGCTAAACTCAAGGTGCTACCTAATTCTGCAACGGGAGCGTTGTTTCATCAACAAGTTTGGTTGAATGTGTTCACGGCATAAAACTACATATGAGAGTTAAGGCTCGTTTCAGATATGCAGAGGAATCCATGAAAACTTCAGTGATGTTCTATGTACTCCAAACTGATTTACAGGAGGAAGAATTTCGTCCGTAATTTGCGTTACGCTGGCAAACGCGTGAGTAGTCTAGGAAGTCAATTGTGTAAATTAGCATTGCCAGAGCTCACCTTAACAAAACGTGTTGCTCAATTGTTTTTTGATTCCAGCCGAATGCTGTAGACGGAAAGCCCTATTGCCAGGCGCATTTGTTTTCAAAATCTCGACGCTTGATGTCGGCCGCAACCGAGGAAGAACATGAAACCGCTTGGCGAAAGCTGCACCGTGCACTTCAGGTTTGTAGTTTACTTTTCTTATCCAGATGTTCTCAACAAAGGAAGTAAGTGCAAGATAAAAAATTGTTTTAGGTTACAGTGTATTTGTTTGGTGGGGAATAGGTGTTGAGGATGCGTGGGAGCAGGTAAAATTCACCGGTCCAATAATTTATCAGCCGTTTCTTCAAGCCACTCAAATATTCAACCTGAGTCCCACAACTATTCTTCTCGCTTCTTTCAGCTTGGCCACATCGTCAAGGAAACGTGTCGTGACATCGTCCTGGATGTGACAACCCACCATAAGCCAACGCCAAAAGGCCTGTCCAAGAGGGATGAATTAATGTTTTTCAAGGTAGTATTCGGTTAATTCCGGACACACTACTTCACAATTCAGCAAGCAGGTTGGCTTCGTGATGCACGGAGTGCAGTGTGTGCAAAAATACGCATACAATAGTAGCCAATGCATTCACCCACGGCGTGACGCAAGGCGCGCCTCAGTCTCAAAATTACCCTTAGTTAAAAGTCATGCAAATGCACTTTCGGTGCAGATGTGGTGCTCGTAGTTCCGTTTCGTTCAGTTCAGTTCAGTTCAGTTCAGTTAAGTTAAGTTAAGTTCAGTTCAGTTCAGTTCAGTTCAGTTCAGTTCAGTTCCGTTCATTTCAGTTGAGTAGGTTGTAATTTTGCTTCAGGTTAGCTTTGGTTAGTTCAGTTTGAACACATTGATAACTGAGTTCTAACCAGCATAATACAACAACCAAGGAAATTTGATGGACTGATTTTAGAAGTGACACAGGACAGTCGTGACGGGCTACATCATTAGGTTTGTTATTCAATGACGCACAATTTCGAGGAACAGTTACCGAAAAAATCGACGTCCAACCGACATAAAACTGGAACAATTGGTGCGATAAAGCTGTAGAAACGCAAGCCCAAGATGATACCCATGACTAATGAACTCATGTCAGTTTTCATACGAGTTGCTGTAATTGCGGAGGTCTGTTAACCGAAAAGAAGCCAGACACTTTTGTAATGCATTACTCATAAGGATGCTGAAAATTTCTCGGCAGCACACGACCGGTTTCGGCCTTCTTGGGGCTCATCAGCTGGGCGCACTTTCTGGGATCTCACCAGCCTTGTGTTCTGGATGATCCTTTAGTTGAACCGAACCATCATTGACGGTTCACTTGTGTCCCCTGTCGAAACCAGATGCGTTTGTCAAAATCCGTCCAATTCAAGTAAAACATTGATTGACGGAAACTCTGGGACTGCGAGTATCTAACGAGCCTGAAGGCGAGCGAAACCGTTCATAGTTTTACTACGTATTTTGTATCGTAGCGTTGACACAGTTTCACTCATCTGCTACGCAGCTGAACAATTCCGCGTATTCTTCGCTAGCGTTATGCAAGTTTATATCAAACCCTCTCACAAATACCAGTTTTAATCGCTAACCAAATATACACTTGACATTCAGTGCGCATCACTGAAAATCTTCCTCACTGTTTAGCATAATGGCCAGTTTTTCATAAGAATGCTGAAGCCTGTTGGTAGACGTTAGGCTGAACTTTGTGTGAACACAGCTTCCTGTTCGTTTGAAAGCATTCTCAGTCATTAGTACAAATCTATGCTCAAAATGTAGGAGCCATATGCTTCCATGATTATACTGACTTGCTATCTGAGATCCTGTTATCTATCTTCCTTCAGATCCCAGAAGTTGCTCAGCATACAAGTCAATTAATGGAGCTGTGCAAAGCCGGATACGAGGTTGGAACACTCAATTCCCATGTCCACAACATCTGTTCCTAACGGACACGCCTCTTGTTTCCTTGATTTTGCCAAAGCGAAATGAATTGCAGCCGTTCCATGTCGTGTTTTGCTGTCGTCGCCAAACATGAGTTGTGATTTTCCATCAAGCTAGCCGTCCAAAGACGGTTCGGTATAGACCAAAAGCATTTAGGCAAAACCGTCGGCATTCTCAGGACTTGTGGACGCATCAAGATGCCTCCACGTATTTGACGTACCAGTGCACGATAGGTGTGCACGACGAACAAAAATAGGCCAGTCGGCCGACACTGGCACAACAGTTTTGTATCGTCTGTTGACTCAAACACACTGCTCAAATTTTGATGTTTCTCGTGATCACTCAACCCGTGCTAGAGACGCATCATCAAACTTAGCGTCATCGTCTTTGTATAAGTTTTCATGCAGCTTTTTAAAACCCCATCGTGTATTTAAATGAGGTGATTAAGAATGCCTCAGTTTGTCTAACAATCAGACTTGTAAGGATTCTCTTGGATTTGTCTGTTTTGGGCAGTTGTTCTATTGACACTTTTCCCACCTGATGTTGCTATGTCAGATTCATCAACCGTTCAATGTTCATGAGCGTTAGACGGGAAGGAATCGACTCCAAGCTAGATGTATCTAGTCCATTATCATTATCCAGGTACTCCAAAGAAGAAATTGTGGATACGTCGGATGCGCCCTACCGTACATAAATCAGCACAATGGACAGGGGAGGGAGAATATGTGCTGAGAAACTGACCAATAAAATGCCAGGCGACAAAACGGGCCAGTCGTTCTTTCGGCTGATACACAACAAATTTTGTACAGCTATTCCTGAAATGACCTACTACCCATAAGACTGATAAATAACTTTCAGAAACTCACTGCAAGTTTCACGTTTCTAGGTTTTATTTGATAAACGTACAATCTGACGTTCAATTAAAGCAAGGTTGATGGAAAATCGCAGACGGATAAATCCACATCGATCGTGCTTCTGATAGATGCCTGAACGCTAATCACATTCGGTCGTGCTTCTGTGGCGTGTATGAAAGCTCGTCGGCTTTTGCTGAATTGATTGAATGATTGACTGACTTGGATGCTTGCCGGTGGAATTTAGGGATTAAGTAGGTTCCGATCATTCTAGGGTTACTTTCACGTATCGAACCTTTCTGTAGATACAAATACTGTCATTCGCACATTACCTTCTTCTTAAAGGGGTTCAACTGGACCCAAATAAATCTCTCAAGTTGACTGGTCAATTTCACCTGGATTTTAAACTAAACTAAGTTTCAGAATTCTCTTCAGTGATGATTTGATTCCTTTTTCATGGGCCATTTTGCTCGCGATATTATGTGTATGTCAAGGATAAATTCCCTAAACGATTCCACTCACGAGGATGCCTAGAACACCGCATACAGGAGCGTGATATTTGACCCAGTCAAAATTCCGGGGACAAGCTAAATGCGAATTGGCATTTTGTTTCCCTAGGGTGAAGTTTATCTAACGTAAATGATGTCTTTTGCTTCCCACAGTATAAGATATAAGGTTGAACAAGTCGCATGAAACATAACACATTATGGTTTTGCCCGGACAGGTTGTGCTACGGAAACGACAGAAGGGAATCAGGCAAACCGGTCAAGCCGATCCTCTCAAGTATTTGGATTTACAACAAAAATCATGGTACAACTAGCAGATGCTCCATGTTGGTGTGAGGACTTTCCTCTAGAGAGCTCGAGATAGCTCAGTGTTTAAGGCACGAATTTACTGGTCGGATGATTCGCGCTTCGGGCCCAAACCTGGCATCTTGCCTGCTCTCTAGAGGAAGAATCGATGATATCTCCAGTGTCTAACAACAGTGGAGACCAGATTCACCTGGTTGGTAACAAGAACTGGCCAGTTGAGTGTGAAACACATGCTGCATCTGGCACGGAAATCGGCTGACGAGGACCTGAAGAACAAAGTGGAATAACTTGACGAAAAATGTGCATCCGTAAAGACGGAGTTACAGAGGCATGCATTAACTGGCCGATGCTGCAGATGTTGCACGACCCGCCACTGCAGGAACCAATGTCTTCGTACTCGACCAGTTGTACATAATAAGCATTACGCGTACCTTATCAGCCCTGACATGAAGCAGACAAACTGAGGAGCACATTCTGTCAAGAGAGCAGGATCCACGGTTGATCTAAGTTGGGAAGAAGTACTGACATCTGTCATCAGGGCATTGCATAATGTGGATCGTGCCCTAGACAAAACAAACAGCGACCGTTCAAATTATTATAGGATATTCCCAACAGTTGGCGAAGTATTCTCCCGTTATTCTGCCTTCACTGATAGTTGCGAGCTTTTGGAACGCAAGCCAACAAAGATCAAGAACTGTGCTGTTCCCAAATACAACCCGTTTCTCCGGCAGCTTCCTCGATGAGCAATATGCATCAGGCGGATTCTAAAGGACTGGCAGACACAAGGGTTCAGGAACATCCGCCACCCTCGGTAGACGAAATATTTGCAGGCACAATGGTACGCCTAAACCTAAGTCA